CGAGTGCACTCGGTTGCTCGACCCGCCTACACTTGCGGAGATTCGTGCTGTGGTCTTCTCGATTGATCAAGATAGTGCGGCTGGCCCGATGGCTTCTCTGCCGCCTTCTACCAGAAATGTTGGGAGATCATCCGGGAGGATGTGTTTGATGCTGTACTGGATTTCTTTTCGGGAGCCCCCCTCCTGAAGTTTTATACAGCGACGACTCTTGTACTTATCCCCAAGAAGAGGGGCCACTTGCATGGGCTGATTATCGGCCTATCAGCCTCTGTAATGTCAGCAGTAAGATCTTCACAAAGCTACTCACCATGCGCCTTAGCCCTCTACTGCCGCAGCTTCTATCGCCGCATCAGAGCGGCTTGTGTCAAAGGCCGCGCGATTGCGGACAATATCCTGTTAGCATCGGAGATGGTCCATGATCTTAATCTGAGAGGGGACTCGCACAATTTATTGCTTAAATTGGACCTTAACAAGGCGTACGATCGGTGTCATGGCGATTCTTGCGGCACGCCCTTTCCAGGTTCGGTTTCCCGGCTCACTTCATCACTTTGATTATGAACTGTGTTGAGCATGCGTGGTACTACGATCCTTGTGAATGGGGACTTGGGTGGCTTCTTCCCCTCCTCGCGAGGCCTTAGGCAGGGAGACCCCTTGTCCCCGACCCTTTTTGTCTTGGCTGCAGATCTCTTATCACGAGGCTTGGAGCGCCTCTACAGCCGTTTTCCGGATCTGTACTATCGGTGTCGTGGTCGGTTCCGGCTGACGCACCTTGCTTATGCGGATGATGTCCTGATATTCGCTAATACCTGTGGCAATCGCATCAGCCTTCTGACCGACTTTCTGACGACTTACGCACGGATTACTGGCCAGAAGGTGAACTGTCAGAAAAGCCAGCTTGTTTTCAGCCGCCAGTGCCCGGAGAATGTTCAACGACAGCTCCAATCGGTGACTGGTTTTGGCGCAGCTGAACTCCCTCTTACATATCTTGGCGCGCCCCTCTATGTGGGCAATCGGCGCAATATTCTTTATGAGGAACTCCTTGGAAAACTCCGTCGTTATCTGCAGCGCTGGGATCGCTCGGTTCTATCTCACGGGGGTCGATTACAGTTAATCAGGAGCACTTTGTTCTCGCTCCCCCTCTATCTGCTGCAGGTACTTTGCCCCCCCCAGGCGGTACTTACTTCACTCTGTGGAGCAACTTTTTGCTCGTTTTTTCTGGGGTTCTTATCACGGGCACCGACGCCGCCATTGGATCTCCTGGGCGGATATTGCACGGCCACAGGAGGAGGGTGGGCTTGGCATTCGTCGCCTGGCCGATACGGTTCGGGCCTTCTCGTTTAAACTGTGGTGGCGACTCAGAGATGGCTCCTCCCTTTGGGCTCGCGCGCTTCAACAGAAATATTTTCGGAATTCCTTTCCAGGACTTGCACCCTGCAGGAGCTACGACAGCCCGGTTTGAAGCGCCTCTGCCAGGTTCGAGACGAGGCACAGACTCAGATCACTTGGAATTTGGGGCGTGGGGACTGCTTCTTCTGGTATGATACTTGGTGTGGAGATCGTCCGCTATGCGCTGACCGCCAGGACCGCCCTCCGCCGATACGGGTGAAAGAGATGTGGGTTAACGGGACGTGGGACTTGCCGCGCCTCCGGGCTTACCTCCCTGAAACCCTTGTTCAGCAGGTCTCGGCGATTCCTTCTGATCTCCAGATTGCGGATCAGCCTATCTGGAAGGCCTCGACCACAGGTACTTTCTCTACATCCTCAGCATGGGAGATGAGCCGAACAGTTGGAGCACGGAGCTGGCTCTCTTGCAGCTTGTGGTCCCCGCTTCTTACTCCTACAATGTCGGTTTTCCTATGGCGTTTATTTCGCCGTCGGATACCCGTCGATGAGGCCTTAAGGAAGATGGGCCTCCCTATTGTCTCTTGCTGCCAGTGCTGTCGGGAGTCTGAGACGATCGAGCACTTATTCTTCTCGTCGGCGGTTGCCCAGCGCGTGTGGCGCCATCTTGCTGATCTATTTCATATCCAAATCCCGCGGACACATGCGCCCCACCTGATGGTTTCCGCTTGGCGTCTGTCCTCTCCACATGCGCGGAGTATCCGTACTTATATACCGCTCCTGGCCTTCTGGTTTCTTTGGACGGCACGGAATGACGCCAAACACCGCGGTATCCAGATTTCATCTGACCGGATTATTTGGCGTATTCACTCTCATTTGCAGGTCTTAGGCCGTGCTGGCCTCCTTCAGCGTCAGCACTGGCCTGGGGAGGTGCACCTAGCCTTTAGTCTCGGCCTTCGCCTCCCACCTCCGGTTCTTCGGCCGCCGGTCATGGTACGCTGGGAAGCCCCGTCTCCAGGCTGGTTCAAACTCAACACTGATGGGGCATCGCTCGGGAATCCAGGCGCAGCTGGAGCCGCAGGCGTCATTCGGGATGCCACCGGCGCCCCAATTGTGGCATTCCAAGCTCCCCTTTTGAATACGACGAACACTTTGGCCGAACTGCAGGCGATTCGATCTGGAGTGGACCTGGCGGTTGCCCGCGGCCTCCTCCCTCTCTGGATCGAGACGGACTCGGCCAGCAGTATCTCTCTCATCTCCTCCTCGACGGGACACTGGACTCTCCAGCCTTGTCTCCACCACCTGCGCCTACAGCTTCGCAGCATCGAGTGGAGGATCTCTCATATTTTCCGTGAGGGCAATAAAGTGGCGGACAACTTGGCGAACACCTCTGTTGCCCTTCCTCATATGCGGATCCTTGAGCCGGCGGACATCCCAGCGAGGACCCGTGGCCTCATCCATGCTGACGCGGCGGGCCTCCCGTGCTTTCGCTTCCGTTAGTTTTTAGTTGCTGACAATCTTTATTTACATTTACAGCACTTGTACCGAACTTTGCAGAACTACGTATGGCTTGATCCCGTTGGGGTACGTAGGCAGCTCTTTGAGCCCAGCCAAAAAAAAAAAAAAAAAAAAAAAAAAAAAAAAAAAACCCTAAACCCTAAACCCTAAACCCTAAACCCTAAACCCTAAACCCTAAAACCCTAAACCCTAAACCCTAAACCCTAAACCCTAAACCCTAAACCCTAAACCCTAAACCCTAAACCCTAAACCGAAAGATCTTACCGAAGGTTTTGCGAGTTTCTGTTTGGCGGGGAAATTTGTTTTGCAGCATCTTAATCACCGCCATATTGTGATTCGCCTCACTACCGAGGCTGATTATATGCGACTTTGGATTCGAGGAACTTGGTTCATCAAAGGATTCCCGATGCGAGTTCTCAAATGGACCCCCGATTTCAAAACTACCGAGGAACCCCCACATGTTCCGGTGTGGGTTACGCTCCCACTACTTCCTCTCCACATGTATCACAGAGATCTTTTATTTACGGTTGCTGCTGGCATTGGGACCCCTCTGAAGGTTGATACCCCTACGGCGACTCGGAGTCGGTGCTCCCACGCCAGAGTCTGTGTGGAAATTGACCTTACGAAGCCCCTCCTGCATGCCTTCGAGATTGATGTGGGTACTGGTGTGCTCGAGCAGAAGGTCATCTATGAGCGTCTACCTAGTTTCTGCTCACTCTGCCGCCATCTCGGACATAAAGCAGAGGCTTGTTTACGCAGACCTTCTTCGCAGCCGGTACCAGCGACCGTATCAGCTGCGCAGGATCTTCCTGCTGCGCCTTCTGGTCGCCATTACTCGGTGCATGGCCCTTCTGAGATCTCTGCGGCCCCTGCCTCTGGTGATATCATGGAATCCCGCCCCCCACTGCTCGACGCCGTCGTCGGCGCCGCAATCGAAATCGGGGTACGCCTTCTACTGGTATCACTAATGATTCTGGCTCCTTGCAGGCTCCTCTTCGGCCCCTCCGCCAGGACCCCCAGCCTTCTACCCGGAGACCTTCTGATGACATACCGGAGTTGAACGGTTCCAGACGCCTTCGTTCAGGTGTGCGGGTGTCCTTTGGGGAGACACAAGTGGCCCCAAATCCATCACAGACGGCCAGGAATTCACAGCAGGTAATACCGGCGCATCTCAGCAGCCCTGCGGAGGCTCATCGCCCCCACGCTCCTCCTCGGGTGACCTTTGCCCACTCACGGGGGGATGCCTCTGCGATCCTGCTTACCTCTGGTGTTCGAGTTACTTTTGGGACTTCCGGGCGCCTTCGGAAACCTCTCCGGTCCGCCCTCTGGCTGGACAGACTACAGCTGAGCCCCCCCGATCGACAGTCCTGCTTCCCCCCGCTGGACGACTGTCGGCTGAGTCCCACTCCAGCGACTCCTGCCACCGCTCCAGCCCTCGGTCTCTTTCTGCAGCCCCCTTTGGACGATCAGGTACCCTCGCCGCCTTTACCACCACTGCTTCCTGATGATATGCAGGTACCCCCCGGAGCCTGTGTCGCTTCCTCCTGCTCAGTCTTTGGCAATCTGGGGACTCCCCTCTGGTCATGGCCTGGATAAGGGGAAGGCAGTGCTGCTCTCGGACCCCCCTGCATCACCTATCTGCGATCGACGTGATCTTTCAGTGGACACATGCCTATCGGCCACGGGTTCTCCTTCCTCGGACACCCAGCGGGATGAGGACTCTGCACTTCATGCCACTTTCGCCGAGGACTCGGATGGTGACTCGCCCCTTATTAAGGATGGCCAACCGCCCCTCATTGATTCACTGTCTCTCTCCCCGAGAGGTACCACTGATCTTCACTCTTGTGATCTCCCTACTGATGCAACTACAGGGACAGAGCTCCTCCCTGAATCTGGTCCGAACCCACCCCTCCTGCGGACTTCGTCGGAACCGCTCCCTGTTGTCGCTCTGTCGACGGAGTCGCATCCGAGCAGAGGGGTGTGCGTTTTGAACCAGGCTGCTGATCCTCCGTCTCTCCAGCGGATCCTTGGAGACAGTGACGGCGGCCACAGGCTCTGCCGCCAACCTTCTCTAGGCCGATCACCCGCAGCATCTCTCGTCAGCAAGTAAGTTCCTCTCGTCGCCCTTCTGCTAGTACTCGATGACAGACACCTACATTCTGGTCTGGAATGTTCGAGGAATTGGTAACCCCAGGGCTCAACGGGAGGTACATTGGCTCTGTAAGCAACACCGTATCCGCCTTCTCATCATCCTTGAACCCATGGTTCTGGCGGACACTGCTTTCTTCTGCCGGCGGTTTGGTTTCTCTCAGATGCTAACCAACACGGCTAATTCTATCTGGATTCTTGCTGATGATTCTTATACACTGGCGCCTATATCGGAGATCGATCAGTGTCTTCATGTGCAGGTATCATCTCCACAGATTCGCCGGCCTTTTCTTTTATCTGGCATATATGCGAGGTGTTCTATCACCCAGCGCCGCGAGCTTTGGTCTTTCTTACATGACACCGCGATTTCGTCACTGGGATCCCCCTGGCTGATTGGCGGTGATTTTAATGCCATCGCCGATATATCTGAACGGAAGGGCCCGGGTCGGCCTAAATTGCGCTCTATTCTGGATTTCTCGACCGCAATCCTCGATGCGAACCTCATTGATGCTGGTTTCGAGGGCCCCCCGCACACATGGACCAATCGGCGGGTTTGGGAGCGCCTTGATCGCATTCTTTACAGCTCTGCCTGGGAGGATTTTGCGGAGACAACTCGAGTCAGGCACTTACCGCGGATGCATTCGGACCACGCCCCGCTCTTGGTCCGTTTCTCGCATGAACGGCACCGCCTAGCCTCTGCATTCCGGTTTCAGAACATGTGGACTAGACACCACTCTTTTCAGGACCACGTCCGCCAGAGTTGGGCTGTCCCGACGGGCACCACCGGTCTCCTCAACCTGCGATTGAAACTCGGACGCCTCAAGCAGGCTCTGAAGTGGTGGAACAAACAGGTATTTGGTAATGTGTTTCAGGTACTTGCAGCAGCAGAGAAAGATGCTGAGGAGTGCGAAGCGGATTTCGATCGGGATCCCTCTGACGCCAACCTCCTCCGTCGTCAACGGAGCGCAGCAGCCTTGACACATGCGATTTCTCTTGAGGAGGCCTTCTGGAAACAAAAAGCAGCATGTCGCTGGGCAGTTGAGGGAGAGCGAAACTCCAGAATGTTCCACTCCATGGTGAAGGAACGGCGTCGGCGGGCTACGCTTTTCTCGATGAGGGACGGTGCTCGTACCCTCACTGATCACTCAGCCATTAAGCAGTCAGCTATTACCTACTTCTCCGAGATGTTTGGTCAGCCTGACGATGCAGACACCTCGGGGATGGATGCACTGGCGGACCCTCCGCCTCAGGTTCCTTTGGCTGAATGTGCTCGGTTGCTGGAACCACCAACACTTGCGGAGGTTCGTGCTGTGGTTTTCTCTCGATTGACAAGGACAGTGTGGCTGGCCCTGATGGCTTTTCCGCCGCTTTCTATCAAACGTGTTGGGATATTATTCACGAGGATGTTTTCGATGCTGTTCTGGATTTCTTCTCGGGAGCTCCTCTTCTGAAGTTCTATACGGCAACGACACTTGTGCTTATCCCCAAGACGGACGGGCCAGTCGCTTGGGCTGATTTTCGGCCTATCAGCCTCTGTAATGTGAGTTCTAAGATCTTCACGAAGTTACTCACTGTGCGACTTGGTCCGCTACTGCCGCAGCTTCTGTCGCCACACCAGAGTGGTTTTGTCAAAGGTCGGGCAATTGCAGACAATATTTTGCTGGCATCGGAAATGGTACATGATCTCAATTTGAGGGGGGACTCGCACAATTTGCTGCTGAAACTGGATTTGAATAAGGCATACGATCGGGTATCGTGGCGGTTCTTGCGACATGCCCTTACCAGGTTCGGTTTCCCGCCTCATTTTATCACCTTGATTATGAATTGTGTCGAGCATGCTTGGTACTCGATTCTTGTGAATGGGGACTTGGGCGGTTTCTTCTTCCCTCCTCGCGAGGCCTCAGGCAGGGAGACCCCCCTGTCCCCGACTCTCTTTGTTTTGGCTGCAGATCTCTTATCTCGCGGCTTGGAGCGCCTATACAATCGGTACCCGGACCTGTACTATCGGTGTCGTGGTCGGTTCCGATTGACGCACCTAGCCTATGCGGATGATGTTCTCATCTTTGCCAATACCCGTGGTGATCGAATCAGCCTCTTGACGGATTTTCTGACGACGTATGCGCGAACTACTGGCCAGATGGTGAACTGTCAGAAAAGTCAGCTGGTATTTAGCCGCCGATGCCCGGAGAGGGTCCAGCGACAGCTTCAGTCCGTCACTGGTTTCGGCAGGGTTGGACTTCCCCTTACGTACCTCGGCGCCCCGCTCTATGTGGGCAATCGGCGTAATATCCTCTACGAAGACCTACTTGGGAAACTGCGGCGATATCTGCAGCGTTGGGACCGCTCCGTTCTCTCTCACGGAGGTCGCTTGCAACTGATCAGAAGCACGCTCTTCTCGCTTCCCCTTTACCTCCTACAGGTCCTTAACCCCCCCCAGGCTGTCCTACACTCAGTGGAGCAGCTCTGTGCTCGTTTCTTCTGGGGCTCCTATCATGGCCACCGTCGCCGCCATTGGATTTCCTGGATAGATGCGGCGAGGCCCCAGGACGAGGGCGGGCTTGGTATTCGCCGCCTGTCCGACATGGTTCGCGCCTTCTCGCTTAAATTGTGGTGGCGTCTCAGAGATGGTTCCTCTCTTTGGGCTCGCGCGCTCCAGCATAAATATTTCCGCAGCTCCTTCCCGGGTCTCGCCCCCTGCCGGAACTACGACAGCCCGGTCTGGAAACGTCTTTGCCAGATCCGCGATGAGGCACAGACGCAGATCACTTGGAACTTGGGGCGTGGGGACTGTTTCTTCTGGTATGATACTTGGTGCGGCGATCGCCCTCTCTGCACTGACCGCCGGGACCGCCCTCCGCCGATTCGGGTGAAAGAGATGTGGGTTAACGGGTCGTGGGATTTGACGCGCCTTCAGGCCTACCTTCCGGCATCCCTTGTTCAGCGGGTCTCTGCGATTCCTTTTGACCCCCTGATAGCGGATCAGCCGATATGGAAGGCTTCGGACACAGGTACTTTTACTACTACCTCAGCCTGGGAGATGAGCCGGACAGCCGGGGCTCGGAGTTGGCTTTCCTGCTGCCTCTGGTCGCCACTACTTACGCCTACGATGTCGGTATTCCTATGGCGTTTATTTCGCCGTCGGATACCTGTTGACGAGGCCCTTTGGAGGCTGGGTCTCCCTATTGTTTCTCGCTGCCAGTGCTGCAGTGAATCCGAGACTTTTGCACACTTATTCTTCTCGTCGGCGGTTGCCCAGCGCGTGTGGCGCCATCTTGCCGACCTATTCCGTATCCGAACCCCGCGGACACATGCGCCCCACCTGATGGTCTCTGCTTGGCGTCTGTCCTCCCCACATGCGCGGAGCATCCGTACCTATATCCCACTTCTGGCCTTCTGGTTTCTTTGGACGGCACGGAATGACGCCAAACACCGAGGTATCCAGATTTCCTCTGACAGGATTATTTGGCGTATTCACTCTCATTTGCAGGTGTTGGGCCGTGCTGGCCTCCTTCAGCGACAGCACTGGCCTGGGGAGGTGCACTTAGCCTCCACTCTCGGCCTTCGCCTCCCGCCTCCGTTCTTCGGCCGGCCGCCGGTCATGGTACGCTGGGAAGCCCCGTCTCCAGGCTGGTTCAAACTCAACACTGATGGGGCATCGCTCGGGAATCCAGGCGCCGCTGGAGCCGCGGGCGTCATTCGGGATGCCACCGGCGCCCCAATTGTGGCATTCCAAGTTCCCCTTTTGAATACGACGAACACTTTGGCCGAACTGCAGGCGATTCGATCTGGAGTGGACCTGGCGGTTGCCCGCGGCCTCCTCCCTCTCTGGATCGAGACGGACTCGGCCAGCAGTATCTCTCTCATCTCCTCCTCGACGGGACACTGGACTCTCCAGCCTTGTCTCCACCACCTGCGCCTACAGCTTCGCAGCATCGAGTGGAGGATCTCTCATATTTTCCGCGAGGGCAATAAAGTGGCGGACAACTTGGCGAACACCTCTGTTGCCCTTCCTCATATGCGGATCCTTGAGCCGGCGGACATCCCAGCGAGGACCCGTGGCCTCATCCATGCTGACGCGGCGGGCCTTCCGTGCTTTCGCTTCCGTTAGCTTTTATTTGCTTACACTCTTTATTTACATTTGCAGCACTTGTACCGAACTTTGCAGAACTACGTATGGCTTGATCCCGTTGGGGTACGTAGGCAGCTCTTTGAGCCCAGCCAAAAAAAAAAAAAAAAAAAAAAAACCCTAAACCCTAAACCCTAAACCCTAAACCCTAAACCCTAAACCCTAAACCCTAAACCGGCCAAAAGGTCAACTGTCAGAAGAGCTCGATTGTTTTTAGTCGACGATGCCCGGGGGAGGTTCGGGAGCAGCTTCGGTCAGTCACGGGCTTCAGAGTGGCTGACCTACCCCTTACTTACCTTGGTGCGCCCCTCTATGTGGGGAATCAGAGGAACATATTGTATGAGGAGCTTCTGGGGAAGCTTCGGAGGTATTTGAGCGGCTGGGACCGGGCTGTATTATCACATGGAGGTCGATTACAGCTTATCCGGAGCACACTCTTGTCCCTACCACTATACTTACTTCAGGTCCTGCATCCTCCGCAGTCGATCCTTCATGAGGTTGAGCAGATCTGCGCGCGTTTCTTTTGGGGCTCGTATCATGGTCATCGCCAGCGTCATTGGATTTCATGGACAGATGCGGCACGACCGCAGGATGAGGGTGGATTGGGAGTTAGGCGATTATCGGATTTGGTTCATGCCTTCTCCATGAAGCTTTGGTGGAAGCTTCGAGAGGGTTCTTCATTGTGGGCGCAGGCGATGCGGCACAAGTACTTCCGCAATTCCTTCCCGGGGAAAGCCCCTTGTCGGATATACGACAGCCCGGTGTGGAAGCGCTTGTGCCGTGTTAGGGAGGAGGTCCAGCTACAGATATTTTGGACGCTAGGTCGAGGGGAGTGCTTCTTTTGGGAGGACAGATGGTTCGGGGAGCAGCCCCTTTCGACCTTCCGGGGAGACAGCCGGCCGCCTCCGTCGATACTGGTCCGGGATATGTGGACAGAGGGGTCATGGGATATTGGGCGACTACGTGCTTATCTTCCGGAGGCTTTAGTACAGCGTGTTATTGAGATCCCCTTCGACAGGTTGACAGAGGATCGGATGAGTTGGATGGCTTCGGCATCCGGTACATTTACTACCTCCTCAGCTTGGGAGCTTTGTCGGGACACAGGGGTACAGAGCTGGCTTTCGGGTTTACTATGGTCGCGGATCCTGACCCCGACGATGTCGGTCTTTTTGTGGAGACTGTTTCGGCGGCGTATACCGATGGATGAGATCCTTCAGCACTATGGGATCCCGATTGTATCGCGCTGCCATTGTTGTCATGCGGAGATAGAGACTATCTCACATGTCTTTATTGACTCGGGAGTTGCCATGAGAGTTTGGGGGCACTTCGCAGCATTATTTGGGATATCGTTGCCAGAGACACACACTCCGCATTTGTTGGTGTCATCATGGAGACTCTCTTCGACGCGTTCTCAGAGTATTAGGGCGTATGTTCCATTGCTGGTATTGTGGTTCATTTGGACAGCTCGGAATGACGCGAAGCACAGGGGGCTTCGAGTGTCTTCCGAGAGGATCATCTGGCGGATTCATGCGCATTTACAGACCCTATGGCGGGCTAGGGTCCTTCTGCGTCGACATTGGGAGGGCGATTTCCATATTGCTGATGGGCTTGGATTTCGATATCCCCCTCCGGTCCCTCGACCTCCGATTATGGTGCGTTGGGAGGCACCGTCCCCGGGATGGTTCAAGCTTAACACCGATGGTGCTTCGCTTGGCAATCCCGGGGCGGCGGGAGCGGCCGGTCTTATCCGGGATTCGGCCGGAGCAGTGCTCGTCGCATATCAGGTTCCGATCTCACACGCGACGAACACTCTGGCAGAGCTGACAGCGATTCAGAGGGGAGTTGGGATTGCGATTGATCGCGGATTGGTGCCGTTGTGGATCGAGACAGACTCGACGGCATGTATTTCTCTGATCTCCTCCTCGATGAGTCATTGGTCGCTTCAGAGGTGTCTTCTTACTCTTCGCATGCGCTTACGGGATACGACTTGGAGGATCTCGCACATTTATCGGGAGGGGAACCGTGTTGCGGATATTTTAGCGACGACGGCGGTCTCCCTTCCGACGGAGCGGATACTTCTTCCGATGGATCTCCCTCGGGCGACCAGAGGCCTCCTTCGAGCGGATGCCGACGGACTTCCGAGCTTCCGTTTCCGATTGTAGGCCTCGTCATGGTATGACTTTACTTACTCACTGATACTTTGGCTTGATTGGCTTAGTGTTGATTGGTGTTGATGCCTTAGGCATTTTCCCTTAGGATAGATACTTTGATTACCTAGGCCTGTCATGCATGTTTGTTTACTTGGACTATGTAGCTCTACTAAGA